ATTAACACCGCAGAGTTCCTCCATCAAATCATAGTATCCGATGGGGTCACTTTTCATTTAGCAAACAAAGGGTTTAGTCTAAAAATAAATAACCTACATAACAAGATAAAACATTATGTAATGGATAAGATTGTTAATGATAAATAAAGTTTTATAAAACACTTTTATTAAGTCATCCCATAGTATCAACCTCAAACATTAATGTGGATTCACTCTAAACAAACCCTCCTAAATCGAACAAATAGGTCATGAACCTCGTGTCATCTGTCCTTAAGGTTCTTTTGTTTATTTTTAAGATTGTTCTTTGTTATATTGACCAATTCACACTCGGAGAAACTCAACAATGTTATTATAACCTTGCATGGTCCAACTCCCATCAACTTGGTTCCCCAAACAGTCCTCATCAACCATGGCAGTCAGTAGTTGTAAGTCCATATCTGATGTCCATTTCGTAACCTTTTCGGATTCTTGTAAATGACCCAGGGAAAACACTCTTGCCTATATTCATGTTGTACCTATTGCAGTGACAAGTAATCTAAAAATTGTAACACAATTATATTTAAATATGGTTTAGCAACCAATGACTTAATTAGTCAATAAAAACCATAACAACATTCACATATCTAAATGAATTAATATAGTTGTTTAATTATTTTCATAGTCTCTATACATATTGTTTTCTATAACATCTTTAAGATTTGACCCAAGCCTATAATCATGCTCACGATCTTAAGAGACATATGATTGAACATCTTGTTCCATTAATTCTTGATTTACTTCATCTACCAATGCCTTATCACTGTCCACCCCCACAGAGATAGTTGTGAGGAATACAACATGTTAAAACAATCTTTGTCATTGTCTCCAATGAGTACTATGGTTCAGTTTCACTAGCTATTATTGAAAACCGTTTTTTTAAAACACCAAAAGTATTTTCAATTACATTTCTAAGTAATGAATGACAAAGATTAAACAACTCTCATGGATTTTGTGGACCTCTTTGGGAGTACTTTTTAAGGTGATATCTAATGCCATAATAAGGTGTTATTGTTTATGAATTTTAACATAAAGTTGACATCCTTAAGGTAGTATTTTTCTACAAGTGCATTGAACATGATTAACAATAATTACTAATATTTAAGTATAATTAGTGGATGCTCTCGACTAAGAGCATCCTTCAATATTCGCAATTAGGATGCCATTTCTTTCCACCCGACTAAAGCATATGTGAATTTCATGTCAAAATCACAAGTTGTAAAAGCATTTTGTGTTGACCAATATTTTCTGTTGTGAAAACGAGTGACATCTGATCGTGGGACCTTGACACATACACAAGTGTCATCTATGAACCCTAAACAATCCAAAAAGGTAACAAAATGGTCTTCTAATTAAGAAGTAATACATTATGTATATGAAATGACACTATACTTTTCAAAATATTACCTTAAAGAATGGGTAAATCAGTTGTTGTTTAGAACAAAAGGATAGACCTCAGTCCTAGATGGTTGAATTAAGAATTCAGCCTCTAACATCGAATTTGCATTTAAGACATTATGAAAGTGTTGAGAATTAGTTACCCTAGACCGATGAAAAAATTTAGTAACTTGTTCCTTGATGGTTGATGAATATGCATCTTTTACTAACATAATTGCATTTAATCATTGGCATAATATATGAATGCTTGTGGTCTCATGGAAATAATGTCACAATATTGTTTCGTATGCATTAAGTATGACATCAATTCCTACTGACGACACTTTTTATGGTAGAAACTTTGGAATATTTAGATGCGACACGTGCAACATATTCAATAATAAACAATGATGTAAAAGATAATTTTGTATGCAATTTTATTTATTAATGTAAATATTCAATTAAATTAAAGTTGCCACACAAAATATGATTATCAAAATATTCGTTATTACAATACATTGACCCTCACCCTTGTGTGTCATGTCACAAATCATTTCAAAAATACACCCCTACTATATAAAATTTTAGAATATAACTAACGAGTCACTTTTCATTTTTATATATATAACACAATCATATTATATTATAATTTTATTTCATTTTTATTTATAATGTATTTATATTACTAATTTTTTATTACATGCTTATATTCCACTACACAAAACTTTTTTTTTTGTATTTATTCGTACATACTTAATCCTAATTACATAAAATATTAGTATATATTATATTTATACTAAATTATTTTACTATATTTTTAAAATAAATGATACATTCATAAAAAAATTAATATATTATAATTACACTTAAATTTATTTTCATTATAATATATTTATATTAAATTAATACAAATATTATAAAATAATATTATACTAAAATTTATATTAAATTTTTTAATATACATTTATGATAAATGATATACTTTCATCATATGACAATACATACAAAATTTTGGTATATGTTATCAATTAACTTAAATTTAATTTTATTATACAATTTAATATGCTATTAATAAATTTAAATTTAAATTTATTATACTATTTTAATATTTAATTACTCGATAAACGAATAATTCATAAAATATTTAATATTATAATTATACCAAACTTTAACTTACATACAATATTTTAATATTAAATGATCATTTTACATTATAAAATTAGATTAACTTGTTAACTATAAATTATCGTTTATATTAATATTTTAAGTGAGATTAAAGTAGGTTTTTAAGTTAGATTAGATTAAGTTTATATATATATATATATAGATTAAATTAATCAATCAAGCATTCACCATACAATTCAACAAAGTGATTGTAAGCTTCAATCCTCAACCGAGATACATCCACAAGCTAAAGCAAGTCAAGAACATAAGTCTTAAACAAGTTGTTACATGCGATTCGGTTCAAGCAGATTTTGTTCGGTAAAAACCTAATCTAATTCATGAATTCAGTAAAGAAAAACAATTAAAGATGATAGTCGAAGTTTTCAAGTTCGATTCAATCAGATCGATCAGAATTCTCTCAGTTGTTCTCTCCATTGCACCATGGCTCTCTCTCCTTGCTTGCATCTCAATCTTCCATGTATGTGTTCATTCTTCTTCATTGTTTTTCACGAATTGGATCTGAACTTCCTTCTTCTATCATATATATATATATATATATATATAAACTTAATCTAATCTAACTTAAAAACCTACTTTAATCTCACTTAAAATATTAATATAAACGATAATTTATAGTTAAAAAGTTAATCTAATCTCACTAAAAAACCAATTCTATTACAATGTATTACATAGACTTAAATTAAATCATTTATCATACAAACTTAAATTAAATAATTAAAAATTAATTCATGTGTATGGAATCAAAATAATTATATTATGTTTATTTACCTCTTGAAATATCTCGAGGAAACATCATGAACAATACTACCACCAAGTACTAGCAGCAACACCACACCACACCAACATGATCAACAACGATCATGAATAACGATCACACCACTGCACCAATGCCACACATATGACTAACCAGATACTAGCACCAGCAGCCCCACACAAAGAATCACAACACCAACACCGTCACGACCCAATTCCCACACACATGCACAACCTACAAGACAACATAACACACCTCACATTCATAACACAAATCACACATAAGAATTGATTCTCCTTTAAATAAATGTGTCGATAATCGATTATGGTAATGTGAGAATCAATTCTGGCCACAAGAATCAATTCTTAACATGATTGAGAATCGATTCTATATACATTATAGGCGAGGTAGAAGCAATTTCCGTTGAATTATCTTTACCGAGAATAAATTATATGGACACCACTAATATGTTATCTACAACCATTCTCACTTAGAATTGATTTTTTCAACTCGAAGACTCAAATTTTTAGTATCAAGTTACACGCGATTGTCATCCAACACAAAGCTACACATAAACCAACCACCCTAACACCTAACTTCATAAACAAAGCATCACTTTCCTTCAAATGACTTTAGGAATCATAACTCTCACAACTTAAACACATAGCAGCGAACCACTCCATTCACAATTTTTTTATTGGAGCATTCAAAACTTCAGTTACCATGGTCAATAATGCTCTTAACAATTTTTATTGTGTGTCGTCTGTGTATGCAGGTGGACAAGAATCTATGGGACAAATCTATGCATGCATGTTATATCTCTACGATGCACACTGTTACGATATCATGCACAATTGAGACACGTGAAAATTAATTAGAAGAAACGAAATATAACACGATATATGGACACGAATTAAAGTATCTTTCTTGTTTTATTTCCTCATTTCCATTAAGGATCCATTTTCTCCTTCAAATACGTTTTCAAATCTACTCGTTTCGTTTGAAATAAATGGAAAACCTCTATGTAAATAACAAATAAATGGATAGAAATATGAGGTATGAGAGAATGAGCAAATTAAAAAAAAAAGAATAAATAATGATTGAGGAAAATAAAATAAAAATTGTACCAGCAAATTAAAAATAAATAAATGATGAGAGAAGAAAATAAAAAAATTATAAGAGATAAAAAATAACTATATTATGTTATAAATCTTATTTTATAAAATTAAATTTTATATATAAATAAGTTTAATTAGATAAATAAATTTATCATAATTTTATTTAATAAATATTTTTTTAAATATATTATTTACGCGTGATGGATTGATATATGTCTTCTATTATTATTTTAAAAAAATATACTCATGTTAACTCACATATTCATTGTCAGATTAAATTATTCTTTCACCCGCATAAAATCTATGCTGAATCACGCATAAGCTAATCCAGATTATGTAAAATTGCCGAATTTATTTTTTTCTTTGGTAAATCAGTACATACATAATGATAATAATTTAAAAACATTCAGAGTGTGCGAATGAATCTCCGTGGTGTATAAAAACAAAACCAAAAACTTATCTCCGTCCACTCGCTACTCGCCGCAGCAACTCGTACCTCGTCAGAAACCAAACACCAACCCAAACTAAACATGGTGGTGGCGGGTGTGTCCCACGCCATCTCCATCTCAATCTCCACCCCCACCAGAGCCCCCTCTTGCAACGATTTCCGCGCCCAAAAAGCACCCTCTTCCTTTTTCGGCCTGGCCCACTCTCCCCAGCCCAATCTCTCCATCTCCGCCAGAAGGAACCGCCACAACACCACCCACTCTTGCCGCTGCACCCTCAATTTCGACGACACCTGCCTCAATTGGGATTGGAACCGATGGTGCCGCTATTTCTCCGAAATCGAACAGGCCGAGAACTTTGCCTCTGTCCTCAAGGTACATCAAAGTATAGTATATTTGTTCTTTCAGCGGATTTTCGTGTTCAGTCTCAACAACCTCTCATATATAAAAATAATTAAATTTAACTTCTTGCTTAAGTTATTTTCCGTTAGCATAATTGAGGTTTAATTAATCGTTTGGATTCTATACCTGTAGAATTTATAAGTAGCTAGAAAGTACTCGTTTTAATCTCTAAATAGAAACAGTTAAAATTTGTGTGTACGAGGAATAAAACAGAGTTAAAAAGTGTATAAGTAGGTGCCAAAGCCAGTCGTCCTAGATTAGAGACTAAAACATAAAGGTTATGTTGGTATTAAGTTAATTTATAAGCTTCGCATTTAACCTAAGGAGTCTGTTTGGATGAAATTTTTACACAAGCACTTCTAGAAAGGAAAAGAAAAAAGCTTTACTATCAACTAAAACTAGCGTATGCTAAGAGTTCTCTGATAGTAACTTCTCCAAAATTAGATTTTTACCATATACATATGCTAGCTTTAATTTAGGAAGAAACTCATTTCACTTTTTTCTTCTCTTAAAAGTGTTCATGGAGAAACTTACCCAAACAAACCCTTAGTCTAAAGCTGATCTTAATTTATACTGATGCGGAAATAGGTTATGTTTATGGTACTTGTGTTTTTGTGTTTGTGTAGTTTCAACTTGATGATGCTATTGAGAAGGAGGACTTTGAAGAGGCCATTAAGTTGAAGAGGGCTCTATCGGAGGCAACGTCGAAGGACACTGTTGCTGAAATTATGGACCAGTTGAAGGCGAGAGCAGCATAATTTGTCTGAATTAGTTTTTTTTTTTTTCCTACATGTGGTTGGTTGGTACTCGAAGTTAATCTGGTGGTTCTGTTACGTTGCAGAGTGCTATAGATGATGAACGATATCATGATGCTTCAAGGTTGTGTAAATGCACTGGAAGTGGACTGGTATCTTTCTTAATTGCTCTACTTTGTGCTAGCCATTGTTTGAAAGTGTTACCTTTTACAATTTTTTATTGTTGTATTTGGAGCTTGATAGTATTTGACTCGGCTTTTTCCTATTTAAAAAGGAGAAGTTGAGCCAAGCATGATTTTAGAAAAACTCTTGGAAAAGAAAAGTAGTTTTTTAATAACAAAAACCTGGAAAATAGAGCTAGTGGATGAGGAACTTCCTTTTGTGTAGATGATAAGTGAAAATTAGTTGGGGTCAAATATCTTAGTATTTCCTAGAAGACGTAGCTTCTTTCTTCTATGTTCTCTTAACAAAGTTTCAACATTGTGGATCAGTTCATCATGGTTCCCCAAACTAGCCTTCTTCTATTGTAGAAGACACGTAAAATTTCCACTGCTCAGATCAACAATTTACAATATGTACTTCTCGTATTCAGTTTATTGGATACACATATGTGACACTAAGTTACTACCACCAATAATTCATGGTCTAGAATGGGAGAGGATAAGAATGTAGAAGTGTAATTTGGAAAATAGTTGGGAGTTATGAGGATTTAAAGTTGTGTCTTCTTGAAGGGATAAATAAATTAGTGGTATGTTTGGGAGATATTTGGTAAGTATTATCATTCCATACACCTTTTTAACTACGAAAGGTTTTATAAAGGTTAAATATCAACGTTATGAAAATTTAAAACAGATGGTGTCCTGATTAGAAACTAGCTAGTGTTAATAAACTTATGCAGTTATGTGGGAAGATGCAAAACCCATCTAGAAAAAAAAAATAATTGTTGTGATTTGGATGTATTGTTACTGGTTGATGGTCTGAGCATGCTTTCGTGAATCATACTCCCTTGACCTCCATCTTTACCTTTATGTGCAGGTAGGCTGGTGGGTGGGGTACTCAAAAACCTCAGATGACCCCTTTGGTAGAATTATACATATAAGTCCTGGTATGGGTAGATTCATTGGCAAGAGTTACAGTCCAAGGTATGAATGTTCTATATTATATTTTACCCTGTAGTTTTTTTATTGGGGATTACTGCTTATTGCTGTTTTATACAGACAGTTGATGACAGCATCTACTGGAACTCCAATTTTTGAAATTTATGTGGTAAAAAATGTCGATGACACATATCATATGCAGGTAATATTCAAATTTTCCAACTAAATGATCTTTGTTCATTTGTGACTTACCACTGTGCTAGAGGGAAACAGTCTTAGTTTTAATGTTGATTAATGGATATCTTTTATTTTTTCATTTTTCATGACCCACATATTTATCAGTAAAAAGGCTTAATTTTGGGGGAGCTTATGCAAATATTAAGTTAGCTAACTGAATATAAAATGCATTATAGAATGGGAACATCATTTTTGTGGTTTTGCTTAAGTGTATGATTTTTTAGTTGGTTTGTCTTTACCGAGTCTTTGTCCCTATTATCTACCTGATTCTGAGTAGTTTGCTTACGTGGTATGTTGGCATTGCTTATGATGTCATATTGGCAAAACTTAACAGGTAGTGTATTTGCGACAAGCGAAAGGAAAGTCAAGGAGAAACTCTCAATCTATATCTACTAAAGGCCCATCCAAACCTGAGGTGGATAATGTATCTTCAGTTCAGGTGCAGGAAGATGAAGAGAAGGTTGAGAGAAATGATGAGAAAAACAGTAATATTGAGGCAGTAACTGAAGAGGGCATTAAAAGTGTTATAAATTTTCTTAAAGAAAAAATTCCAGGATTAAAAGTCAAAGTTATGAATGTTAATGTTGAAGACGAAGCAGCAGGGAACAATGATTCTATTCAACAATTGATGGAAGAAGATAGTAATAAAACTGGCTCCAGTGAGAATCATGAAGAGGAAGTTGATAATCTCGATGAACCTGATGGGGTAACTCTGGACAGAGATGGAGATGCCACGGATGAAGAAAAGGATTTGGAAATGAAGCTTTTTATTGGTGGGGTTGTGCATAACAATGAGGATACTCCAGTGAAGGATGAATTTATACGTCTTCCTGCTGTAATAAAAAATATGGAAAAGGATTCTTTTGTCTTTCATTTTGCTAGCAAAAATCTAGACTATGGTATCAGAGAAGATAAAGTTCCCAATATCAAAGTAGCTGCTTTAGCAGCGCAAGGAGTTTCTGAGCTTATGCCTCCTGATGTTGCTAATGCATTTTGGAGTTCTGACAAAGTCTCTTCCAAGGTATGACTGGGATATTTAAGCATTTTTTAAAAAAGAAATCATGCATTTGTTTGTAGTTCTGTTAAATCCTTCAGTAGGAATTAAGGAGCACCTGTCATTATTATTATTATTTTAATGCTAAGGTTTTCATTGGTGATAAAATCAATAGGACAATTCCTGGATAAAAATGGGAGACTATATTATTGATGAAAAATGACAGAAGTACAAAATTATAAAGAGCTAATGCTCCCAGCAATGGAGGAAACTTTAATCCCCAAGCCTAAGCTTGAAGATGGAAAACTTATACATAATTTCCCCTGATATACCCCCCGGACCCATTATCCTTGTTCTCCTGTTTTTTACTTGCACCACTTCTCACCGAACTACCATTCCAGTCTTTTTGTATGATAATAGTGTTAGATATAAGAAATATGTAATTATTATCTTGGAATATTTTAGAGTATCTATCATAATATATTAGGAATTTTATTTTATTTTATATTTTTATGTGTTTCCTTATTTAATTAGGATATTATAACTATAGGATTATCTGATTAGAATCAGATATATTAGAATATGATTTATATGCATATCATATAATGTATATAAGAATAAAGTCTTCTATAATTATTTGTGTTTATTATCATCAGCTTCTATAAATAGACTCTGTTGTGTAAATATAGTTTCAGCATCTTTTTCATCTATTTTTCTTTTATTCAACATGGTATCAAAGCTGTACCATCCTCCATGAAGTGTTTTGTCACTATTTCACTGCTGAGTTCCTTTAAACAAAATAGTGGAACTCCAATATGTCACTTCTTCCACTTTGTCTTTTATTTCCAGCATGACTGTCAATTTTCCATTGTGTCCAAATTTGGCTTGCAACTAAAATTTGTGGGTGTTGTTCACTGTGATCGATTTTTCTGTTATGTAGTCCATTCACAGTTTTCAGTTACTCTTTCATCTATCTTCCTCTCTTTTAGCATGCTATCAAAGTTGTACCATCCTCCATGACCTGTTTTGTCACTATTCCGCTATTGAGTTTCTTTGAACTAAAAAGGTGAAACTTCAATTAGTCACCTCTTGTGCTTTGTCTTTTATTTTCAGCATGACTGTCAAACTTCCATTGTGCCCTACTTTGGTAAGCTACTTCGTGGTTATTGTTCACCATCACCACTTTTTTTGTTGCATATTCCATGCACAACTTTCAACATCTCTTCCATCTTTTTTCTTTCAACATGGTATTAGAGCAGTACCATTTTCCATGACTTATTTAGTTACTATGCCGATGCTAAGTTCCTTTTAGAAAGAAGTAGAACTCCAATTAGTCACCTCTTCCGCTTTGTCTATTATTTCCAGCATGACTGTCAATATTCCATTTTGTCCTAATTTGCTTAGCTACTCTAAATTGCAGTTGTTGTTCAACATCACCTACTTTTCTGCTGTGTTACAACTTTCAACATCTTCCATCTATTTTTCATTGTTTCAACATAGTATTGGAGCGGTACAATGCAATAAAAGTGGAACTCCAATTAGTCACCTCTTCTGCCTTGTCTCTTGTTTCCAGCATGATTATCCATCTTCCATTGGGTCCTAATTTGATTCACTACTCTGATTCGTAGTTATTGTTGGTTTTCACCGGCTTCTTATTTTTTAATTTTTTTTGTAGTCCAATACACAAATTTCAGCATCTCTTCCATCTATTTTTCTGGTATTAGAGTGGTACCATCTTCCATGACTTGTTTTCTCACTATTCCACTGCTGAGTTCCTTTAAACAATAAGTGGAACTCTAATCAGTCACCTCTACCGTTTTGTATCATATTTCCAGCATAACAGACAATCTTCTGTTCAGTCCTAGTTTGGTTTGCTACTCTGATTTGTGGTGGTCGCTCACCGTCACTGACTTTTCTGTTGACACATCCCAAATTTGTTCCAGATGCACTTTTTCTGGCTTTGTCCCAGTCCCAAATGCGCTGCCTATGACTTTGCCCCTGATACATTGGCCCTGGCTGTTCTCCCAAGTGCATTTGCTCTAACTTTTTCTCAAATGCATTGGCCCTACATTGTCCGAGATGCACGGACATGTCTCGCGTACCTCAAATTTTTTTATCAAGCTAATGATCATTCAATCTATCTGGCTAAGCTAGTTTTCTCTCCAGCATGCCTGACTCTGAGTTGCTTTTCCAACTATTGTATTTGGTGGAACTCATTTGTTTGTAACAAGCTAAAACTTAGTAAGCTTCAGATTGTGGATTTATTCATTGCTTTTATTTTGATTCGTTTTCTTATTTAAGAAGAATGTTTATAGTTATAAGAATATCTTGTTAGAATCAGATTTATTAGAAACTGTGGATTCAGACTATGATTTTCCTTTCCCAAAGGGATAGAGAAACTGTGTTATGCTGCACACCTCTTCCTTTATTTATTGATTGATTTACAATATAATAGTGTAAATTCATCTGACAAAATTATCACTCATCTAATCACAGTAATTACTCTCTGTTATCTACAACTGCTACATATTAATTGGCTAGGCATAGTCACAATCTACATCAATATCAATGTTGGTTAGTGTAATCTAGCCAACGTTAGTATAGGTGTGAGTTGACTGAATATTCTAACTTACATGATAATAGTATAACAGTGACATAATCGTGATGTCCGTTCCCATGAAAATTGATCTTAAATTACTCAAAAGATGAGATTGTAGTGTCTGTGACCATTCAAAAGTTTTTGTCTATTACCTAATATACTGTGCTTTACTTGTCAAAGAACTGACTGATGCTTCATCTAGATCTCCAAAAGCATGCGTGATATTGTCAGAGTTGCTATGAGTCAAGCACAGAAAAGAACTAGATTATCTGGGGATACATATTTTAACCGGATAACTTGTTCAAGAGGGAATTCTGATCCTTTTGATGGTGAGGTTGCTTATCCTGTTTTTTATGGAATTCTAGGTAAAGAACAAAGAATTGATTGTGCCGGTTAAAATGTAGGACTCTATGTTGGCGCGTTTGGCCCTTATGGCATGGAAATAGTTCACTTGAGGAGAAAATTTGGACATTGGAATGAAGTAGACAGGGAACATAACACTTCAGACCTGGGATTCTTCGAATATTTAGAGGCTGTGAAGTTAACTGGGGATCTTAATGTTCCTGCTGGCCAGGTTTATTCATTTTTAATTTCTTGATGCTGTTATCATATTGTGAACTTCTGCAAAGTTTATAACATGACAAGAAAGGATTATTTTTTGGTCTGTAGGTGACATTCCGTGCAAAAATTGGCAGAGGCAACCGCAACCCCAATCGTGGGATGTATCCTGATGATTTAGGAGTGGTAATGCACTATTTTAGTGGATATCTTTTGTGTTCTGCGCTCATTCATGTTGAAGAATACTGAAATTCAAAATTAACTATAGGCTATAGCCCATCATGATAGAAACCTTTTCCCTAACAATCTTTTATATAATTACCTCACACCTGCTGTGATAGAAACCTGGTATCTTATTAGAAAGAATAATTTCTCCCCTCAATGGAGTGTTAAAAATTGACAAGATGTCATCCCTCTCAATCCCTCTCCCTATTTAATACCGGTACTCGTCTACTAGCATAAACCTGCCTTCAATGGACCTAATCAGTTGCATATTGCATTTCTTAGACTAACAACTAATTACTAATGGGGGTTATCTAACAATACCCCCCCCCTCCCCCTTTCACCTTGTCCTCAATAGCAATTGGTCGCTGCAAACAAGGTTCCATCTTGTTCTAACTAGTCGAAGCATGATTATCAAGCCAACCCCATCGTGCTGCTGAAAATAACCTTCACTCCACCAAGGTCAAACAAACATATTCAATGCCCACATGCTCTTCTAATACTCTGATTTCTGCAGTACCTTTGTTTTATTGAATAGAAATGAATAGAGTACTCAAACAAATGCGACACTAACCCTCACTTTTTATTGAATGTCATTTGAATTTTGTTAGTTTCCTTGACTTGCATTGTTATTTAGTAATACAATTTGCTCGGCCTAATTTTTTCATTGTTAATTATGAATATGTCATGAATTTTACTAATTTTTAAAAAAATTGAGCTTTTATATGTATATAGTATAAATTAGTTATTCTGTATATAAAATTTCTGAATAGTGACCTTTGCTGGGAGAGGCAAAGGCTACTCATAGCTCTCTTCTATAAACCAAGAAAAGGACACATCCAGTGCAATCCCGGAAGAAGTAAAATTTTTTCTACAATTTCCTTGAGGTTGCTTGCTAATGTTTTTTTTATGTTTTTGAGGCCCATATGATTTTTATTGGTTTGCATCCTTCTTTGCTCGGGTTTCTTTCTTTTTGGTTTGTTATATTAATCATTTTGGATTGTTATTGAAACATGTAACTAATCTTAAATACTGCACTTATTCACAAACAGGTTGCTAGTTATAAAGGCCAGGGGAGAATAGCTGATTATGGTTTTCGAAATCCAAAATGGGTCGATGGAGAACTGCTCCAACTTAATGGCAAGGTAAATTAGTCAGAGGCGTTGCATTTTTCTCACGATCAATATTCTCAGTTAATAGAAAATTTTGGTAGAATTTCAGTTGGCACTTTTTTTTTTGTTCTGCTGTTTTCAAATTTAGGGCATGGGGCCATACATGAAAGGTGCAGATCTTGGTTTCCTTTATGTCGTGCCTGAGCAAAGTTTTCTTGTGTTGTTCCACCGGTTGAAACTACCCGAGTGAGCTATGGTTAATGGTACCCTATTCCTGTATAATTTACTATCTGATGCGGGTTGCAACATGAAGGATCCTGACACTAGCACGAGATTATATGTTACACTCTTTTGAGTGGGAGTTTTATCGGACAGGCAGGCACTTTTTTATTTCTTTTTTTCCCTAGCCCTTCTGAGTTAATTTTTTGTTGTTCCTTTTACCAATCTCTTTTCTATTATCTAGTGTATATAAATTTTGCAGACTAAGATAATAGCATGCTAGAACCCTGGAAGTACTGTAAGGGATATTTTATGTGCATAATATGGTTTATGTCTGTGTGCCTTCTTTCTGGTTTGGACTTCTCGTTTGTGGAAGTCCAACATAGTCTGCATGTATGAAAGGGGAGCAAATAATAATTAAATTTGATAATAAAGAACTTATTCCCTGTGGTAATTTATCCACAGATTTTGTTACACCATTTCCTATTGAAAGAAAGGAAATAATAATTATAAACTTTGTGCTACCCTTATCAAGAAGAATTATGATGAAGGTATTGGCAGCACAAAAGACGTCTCAAGCTAGATTCCTGGATAAACCTATAGTGCTTTTGGAGACGTGTGAAGAGATAAAAAGGTGTCATGTGAAAAAGCAAGTGCTCATGTAGCAGGTTGCTCTCAGTGGGATGTATTTTATTTATTTTTTGGACCTTAGATGTTTGTGTAAGAATAAATTGCATTGAAATGCGCAGTGGGAACCTTTCCAGTGGAAGCTGGGTTAAAGAATGACTATACTGTCTTTATTTTTATTATTACACTAAAGTAAGTCCACTGGAGCGAAGTCAGATTACTTTTTTCCACTAGAAAAGGATTGTTTAGATTTTTAATTGGGCCCACTAAGAAAATAACATTTTTTCTTAAAAACAATATTGTTTTTAAAATTTAAAATCTAAAAAGTTTGGTAAAGTAGTTTGTTAAAAGTTGTTTTTGTTTTTAGAATTATAAATTAAAAAAGAAAATTAACAAAATTTGTTTTAATTTTTAGGATTATTTGTGTCTTTAAAGTGATTGCACTGTTCATTTTCGCTTTTAATAGTCATTTTTAGATATTATTTATATTTATTCACATCATTTTTTTTATTAAAAATAGTTTTAAAATAAATTATTAAATAATTTTTTAACTTAAAATAATTTATTGAAATTTATTACTAAAATTATTTTTTAAAACGGAAATACAAAACTAAATTAAATACATTCGAAGCTATATTTGTTAAGTAGGGGTGTCAATATGGGTTCTAACCCGGTGAGTCAACTCGCCTCACCATAGGTTCGAGTCGGGTTGGGTTGGATTTTTTTATTTCTACCGATTATGGGCTAAAAATGAACCCGGCTCACTTAACCCACGGGTTAAACGGGTTCGAGCGGGTTATGGTGGGTTGGCCCGCAACCCACCATTAATTTTAAATTTTAAAAATAATTATAATATATATTAACCTTAATTAATAATTATATTTTAAATTTTAAAAACAATTATAATACTTCAAGAATCCTAAATTTTATCCTCGCCTCATCTCTATCCTATATTGTCATTGTCGCCACAACAAGTCAAACCCTATCAACAACACTACGTTTGTCGCTGCACTATCTTATCATATGTTCATCTTCATCGTATCACTACATCACCGTATCCATCTGTAGCATCTATACATTATTTGTTGTTTATTATTGATTTATACGTATATCTCTTTAATATATGAATTTTTGACTTCTTTCTTTCAAATTAATTTACATTATGGAATCGAAACAATGCATCAAAGTGTCAATGTGAATTGTGTTGGTGATGATTTTATTGTTAATGAAAAACCCAATGAGCCAATTTCAGTTAATAATGAAGATATCGATGTTGAGAAAAAAGGAAAAAAACAAAAGTTTCTACATCCGAAGTTTGAAATATATATATATATATATATATATATATATATATATATATATATTTATATTATTTAAAAAAAATATGGGTTAATGAGCCAACCCACCTAATCCACCAACCCGTGGTGGTTTCAACCGGGTTATAAAATTTCTGGCTAAAAAAATGAGTGTGGTTGAGCTCATTTCAGCTCAACCCGTGGTGAGCGTGTAAGTTAGCATCATTGCTTTAATCTAATCATAAGTGCAATGTCTGAGTCCTTGAGAATTCAACTAAAATTAAACTAAATAGCATTAATTAAAAATAAAAATCAAGCTGAAATTGGTTGATGACAACCATCAATTATTGCTTTTCCTTTTAGACTAACACAGTCACTGGAGCACTATAGAGGGTGAACTATGTGAAGCAATCAACGTGGCTCGGTAACGTGGCTCGGTCTTGCACTAAGAAACAACGACGAAATACTAAACACATCCTTCTTCTTTTTCTTTTCCGCTTTCTTTCATTTTCCCACCACCCAAACGAACTTTTTCCTTTTTCTTTGCTTTGCTCCTCACTTTATTTGCTACTCGTCTTTCTTTTATAATCCTTGCGTCACGAAACCAATGCAAACGGAAAACGCAGAATCACAACTCACGAGGATCGCGCCACCGCCATGAACAAATCGCTCTCCAAGGGCTCCGAGTCGTCCACTCAGTTCGACTCGCCGCTACGTTTCCACTCTCCGATGCGGTGGGACGGGACCGATCCGCCGGAGTCTCCGGAATACCGCTCGCCGGAAAACTCGCCAGAAAAGCACCCGGACCACTCCATGGCCATCGTCACCGTCGGCAAGCTCAAGCAGCTCGCTCCTGACAAGCGCGCAGAGCACCGGAAGCCGCCGGAAAACCCGCCGTCGGTGTTGGTGTTCAATGGTACGGTGACGGAGGAGACGCAGCGTCCGGCGGTGAATGCGGTTCCAGCGGTGGGCGGAGGCGAGCGGAGATCGAGGTCGTCAGGGTGGACGACGGAGGAAACGGTATGCAAGGCGGCGCTAGGGTTCCGGCTGAGCGAGATGGTGGTGTGTCTGATTTCGTTTTCTGTTATGGCGGCGGACAAGACGCAAGGTTGGAGTGGTGACTCCTTTGATCGCTATAGAGAATATAGGTATTGAAGTCATTATTACTATTTTTATGATTGTCCAGTTTAGGTATTGCTATTTTTATTAATTAATTTCTGAAGTTTGTTTTGTTAAATTAGATTAGGTTTATAGTTCGTTGTTAATTTCTGAAGAATGTTTGCTTGCATGATGATTGTAGAAATGTGGAAGTTAATGGCATGTGGTCATGGTAATTGATTTGTGGCAGGTATTGTTTATCTGTGAATGTTATTGGATTTGCATACTCGGCGTTGCAAGCATGTGATCTGGCATGTCAACTTGCCACTGGGAAACGCTTAATCAGTCATCACCTTCGCAACCATTTTGACTTCTTCTTGGATCAGGCATGTCCTACCACTCTGTTTCTGTTTTCAATTTTCTTCTTTTCTGTCAGAGAAGTGAGCATACCAATATTTAGGACTTATAGTCAAATTAGTACATGAGTGTTTGAATGAAAGAAGGTTATGTTGTGTTAGTATAACTAGTAATTTTGAGTTCAAGGTGGAATATACAGTGATCTAGAGTTTTAAGTTTTTGGATATACTCTTGAATTAAATACTGAGATACAAATATTTTTATCGTTAATGGAGATTCTACTGATTAAAAAAAGATTCTCTCTCATATAGATTACATGTTGTGTTAAAAATTAGATTGTTTCAGTGTTCTGTTTGTTAATGTGGAGATTTTGCACTTGAGCAAGACCCAAAACCTTTTTTGTGGCTCAAAATCATAACATTTTTTTGATGAATTGATGAGTAGGTTCTGGCTTATCTTCTGATATCAGCATCATCATGTGCAGCCACACGGGTTGACGATTGGATATCAAATTGGGGGAAAGATGAGTTCACAGAACTGGCCACTGCATCAATTGGAATGTCCTTCCTAGCTTTTGTTGCCTATGCTATGAGCTCACTCATCTCTGGTTACACCCTATGCAACCGCAGCTCCATGTGAACCTCACTTCCTACTTCTCACAAGTTGTCTGTTTATAGAGTACCCCCTGTTTCTCTTCAGCCGTGATGGAAACGATTAATAACGTGCTTGAAATCTCTGATTTGATACATGACTTATCATCACATCCAAGAACCCAAAAAACGTGGAAGCAAGAACTATTCGCATTAGTCATAACGTGGAAAACCACATTTCATGGGCTTCCAGACATGCTGTAAAGAAATTGTTGATGCCCCAAAGTTTTCACTGTACTGACGGACTTATGTATATATACAGTTTCTGTATATTTGTTCGTGCTGCAAATGGTAGGGTGGAGAAGCAGATTTTCCTTGTTTTATTTCCATTCAAATACTCCTTTTTTAAATCTCACGTTCTTCCATATAGAACATGTTGCTAGTTATGTCAACTATAGTTGATAGAGGATTGTAAATCCATAAACGAGGGGGTTTTGTGATCTAGCACTCACATAAAAAAAAAGAACGGGATTTGGGTAAATTTTTTGATAAACAAATGGTTTGAAATAGTGACAATAATATTATTCTAGTTTCCCTTGTTTTATTTTTCTGGAGATTGTTTATTTATCCTTGTGGCCATTTGCCATTATTACAAGAAGAGCATGAAACAAAAAATTAAACAAGAAAAACACTTGGATCGGGTTGAGGTTAAGGTCCCAATCGTCCTGCAACACGCCAGCACCAGATGATAATTGGTAAATAGAATTAGAAATATTAGAGTTATTTTTAATCATGATTTGAGTTATTTTTAATAATGAAATATTATGGGATTGCTTTAAAAATGAAAATTGTCACGTAAGTCTCCTAAAGTTTAGTTCATAGGTCAAATTGGTCCCCACATTAAAAGGCATGATTTAACACTAATGTAATAATGTTCACGTGGCATACTAGTATAATATAAGAAATTTATGTAACAGTACAGAAGAATCAATAGTTGCTGTAAGAACTGTTGGCTTCGGCTAATCTAACAAGTTCAAATAATTTTAGGTTTAGTTTGATTTATATTTTTAAATTAATTATAATTCTCGGTCTAATTTAATTTTATGTTAGACCAATCAATCAATTTTAATATAATTAAAAATTTAAAAAATTATTAAAAGTTTTATATTAAAATAATTAATTAAAAGATATTTAAATAAAATTAAAAATTAAAAATATAATTTTAAAATTTAAATTATATTAATAAAATTATTTTATATTTTAAATATAACAATTTAATATATAAATTATGATATAAAAATTCTATTACAAATTTTGTTTATAGATTTACTAAATACTTATTCTTAGAAAAAATAAATTTCTTATCAAATTAATATATATATATATATATATATATATATATATTAATAAAATAATATTATTTTTATTTTATTTAAAATATAATTATTATTTTATAAAAATAAATTAATATATATAAATTTAATATAAGTTCATATAAATGATAATCTAAATAGTAAAATAGGTTTAATTCAAGTAACAAATTTTTATATAATTTAATATATTTCTCAAACTTTTTGGTTGATATATTGAATTAAACATATTTTAATATCCTTTTAAGTATACAAGAAAATTATTATCAAAGAAAAACTTCCTCTAATTTATACTAAATAATACTATATTTAATGTTTGATTAAATAATTGAATTAGTTTATTTTGATTAAGTTTTTGTTCTAACGTCTTGAAATGACAAAAAAAAAAAGAAGAAGAAGCATTTTCCATAACTACGTTTGATTAAAATAATAGTTTTAAAGCAAGTGCAGAGTTAAATGTTGTAGGGTGGAGGAAGAGTTCGCCTGATTCCAGATGCAACAAAGCTATGGTTATGGATTGGAGTCCTCTATGTCCTTTTGGGCCTTGGGATTGAACTATATTAGGAAAGTCAATTGCTTCCTGCACCCCCATAATATTCTCCCGCAACTTCATACTCCAAGTCAAATACCTAAAGTGTTTCTCCCATAATTTCGATTTTTACCCTAACTTCTTCTATTTGTCTATAAGTTCTCCACCTCCATCCCTAAGCACCTTCATCCCTTGACTTTGATTTTTTTGTGTTATTACCTTCATTCAAAACTTTTTCTAATAATTAAAGGTAAGTAATAATTAATATTATGTATGAATTACATGCTCCTGTACTCAAATTGTACAAATAGACTCCAATTACTCAATTTAGAACAATATCGCAAAAATGAGGTTTAATTTCGAAACACCCAATCGAAAATATATTTCTAAATTGACTTTTTGGAAACGCATTATGGAACACCCATTCCAAAATATTATTATGGAGGATGGAATGTATTTCTCGAAATCAATTCCAAAAAAATAATTCGGAATGCATTTTCAAAAAATCAATTTTAAAAATATATTTCAAAACGCACTTTCTAAAATGTATTTTTAGAAAAAAAATTTGAAAATATATTCCAAAAAGTGCTTTCTAAATGCATTTTCAGACAATAAATTTTGTAATTGTATTTTGAAAAACACTTTCTAAATCATGGTTTTCGAAAAAGATTTCTAGTTTTCTCACTCCTTACAACGTATTTTCCAAAAAAGTTTTGTTATATGAATGTACATGTAAAAAAAGTTGGAAATTCTGACCTGTTTCTTGTAATTTTTTTAAAGAATAGGAGAGGATAGAATAAAAATGTTGTAGTAGGATTTAAAAGGTAATCATTGAACAAAATAAGAATAAACACTAGTGAAAGATGAATATAAGTATAAACATAAGATGAGATTTAATTTAATCATGAGATGCAGGAAAAATTATGAGGTGTAGGAAGGAACCAGTAGGAACAGGTTGCAGCTTTCCACATCTAGAAAATAAAAAGGCTTTTAACTTCTTCCATCTTATTAATTTTTTAGAGCATCTTTAATTGGATTAACTTATCTGAATTATTTTTCAAGAATATGAAATGAGATCCCACAATATTAACTCACATTTAACAAATCTTAAACTAACTCTAAACAATTTATTATTTTACATATATTTTTATTGAGATTGTATATCATAATATTTATTAATTAAAATTTAATACGGCAGATTTAATTAATATTTTTTTTAAATTAATTAATTTAAACAATAGCATGTAATAATATTTAACTTTTAAAATAATTTAAAATAAATGTGCAATGATAAAAAATAAATGGCATTGAAAAATATAATATACTACAAATAACTAATTTTCATTATTTTATCTTTTAAATCTTTTCTAAATCAAATTTTTTGTGATGACTGTTTTTATCTTGAAGCATTATTATTCTTCCTATAGATCTAAAATTTAGATGAAACTTAATTATATAATAATAATTGATACGTCATTTTTTATAATATCATAATTAATATGATTTTGAGAATGGTATTATTCATATGAACAATTATATTTTGTAATATAATACATGCATAAACTTCATTGTAAGAGCACCCAAAATGTACCAAACCATATATAAATGTGTATTGAGATTATAAAGTACTCCAAATCACGATCAATATCCTTTATAATCGAGTAGCAGATCTTGATTAATGATTTTGGAGAGTCAAATAACATATTTATAAATAATAAATAAATATAAAAAGATAAGAGGCTAAAATTATAAATATACAAGTATGTATATTTAATAATTATTAAGTTTGGAAAGCCAAAATTATAAATATACCATGGTTTATAGTCAACTCTTGTTAAGAAAATAATTTTTTCTTTTATTCCTATGATATTAAAATGATTTTCACAAATGTGATGAATTTTGATACATATCATCCATTAAACAATATTTCATATTATATTATATTTCATTCGAAGTATATTGTACCACTAATACATAACTTGACCTAACATCATTATACGAATTAGATGTATTTAATGTAGTAATGTCATTATTTTATATGTGGTGCCAAGAAATGAATATCAAATCTACAAGTGTTGGTATCATTACTTTAGGAATGATTATTGGGTTAGTATAATCATCTCACGAAACTTGACTTTCCATGCAATTAGACAAATTTTTATTCTAGTGTGTGCAATTAATACTAACATATTGAAAAGTCATGTGTCACTCTCATTTGAAATAGCAGTTAGTGTCTTCATTATTAGGTTTCTTTGAGTAGTCATTTATAAAGATTGCATAGTTGTAAGCATTCCATTGTAGTGATTTCACCAAATTCAAATATATTCATCCACATTATTGACAGGTGAGTTATAAGTCAATGTATGGATAATACTAGTGCACTTTTGCAAAGGTGATAGGACTCTTTTTCGTGTTGCATCTAACCTCATTTTAAAGTAGTCATCATGATTGTCAATGACCTACACAATTCTCAAAAAGATGTCCTCCACATACAAAGCATTATTTAAAATTAAGTTGTGTATTCAGGATTTAAAAAAAAAAAGTAATAATGAAACAATTGATGATGACCTTATTTATGATTCCGATGTACTGCCTTTCTTTTTTTTTCTATCATCATCAATGTTGTCACCTTGTTGTTGGTGCTCAAGTATTAACCTCAAAACTTCTTCATATGACTTGATAAAAAATATGTCTAAATAGATGTTTTCAAATCTATTGTATGGAAATTAAAGTGTTTGAAATAAAAAACTATTATTATGAGATAAAAGAAAATGTGACAATGAAATAACATTGAATAATTATATATAGATTCATAATGATTAATTTTTATAATAGTTATTTTTCATAACAAGTACTTTTTACAACGAAACTTTTTCATAATAACTTTTTTATAATAGCTACGATATTTTTTTGTGAACTGCACTTTTTTCCTCAAACATGTTAGATGTGTCCTTAATGAATATTTTATATTCTAAATATATTTTTTGTGATTTATTTAACTCAATAAATTCATCAAGTTTGATGTTTTGTAATTGAAAGCAATGAGGGGAGATTGATGGAAATGTCCCTACATTCCCAAGAGATGATTTTGATGATGATTCAAGTCAACTACATTCAAGTAAACACCATTCAAGATAAATTAAGGACAAA